CACTTTTAGAGGGCAGGGGTGCTACTGTCTGGGATGGAGGTGGCAGTGCATCCAAACACATTGTCTTAGTAACTGTGCCTGAATCCACTGCCTCTAAAAGTTTTACAAAATAATAAGTGCCCTAGAACATTCCAGCGGTGTAAAGGTGTGCTGTAGAAGAAGTGAAAACGCTGGCCAGCCTCTCACTACGCCCGAACATCCCATTCCCCAGTAATGTCCTTGGGAACAGTTTGTAACCTTTCCACACCTTTCTCCTAAATATATTTAGACAGTTTGATTTAGCAAAAGGTGGTGATCAAACTATTCTTGTTTTTCATAACATTTTTTTTCATGCTATATGTGCAGGTCTGCTTCACTGAGATTGTATCCCTCAGCCCAAAGGGAAACGCATGAAATATTTTGCCGCAATTTGCGTCTTCACACTATTTTGTGCAGTCTTTGCCCAACTGGGAGATACGATCTCATGAGTGGTGGTAGGAGATACTGTTCCTGGGCCTCTCATCCATGAAGCAGCAACACATGATAGTTAAGAGAATGGACTCTGGAGTGTGGGATGGGGACTATCCCCTGGCTCTGCCACTTGCCAGCTGCGTGACCTTGGGCAAATTATCTAACCTTTCTGTGCCTCAGTTACCTTATCTCTGAAAAGGAAATGATGTGATAACATGTAGGGTTGTTGTGAAGGTTGCCTTCATGAAGTATGTAAAGCATTTAGAACAGCACCTGGCACGTGTTTGTTAGATCAGCCCCCTAGGTATTCTGTACTTAGTTTTTCACCCCTTACCCCATTAAATACCTATAACCACCCTACAGAGTAGATAGTATCACCCTGTTTTCCAGGTGAGGAAACCAGCTCGGAGAGGATATGACCAGCTCGGTCAGGATACAACCTGTCCGACCCAGGCCTGTGAGGCTCACATGGTTTGCACTGTGCTCCCCAAACTGTAAATCCTCCTCAGAGCCACAAACTCAGCAAGGGGGCAGATGATTAAAGGGATACCAGATTTTCAGTTTCAGCCATTCAGATATAGATTAAAATTTAATTTATGAAGAAGAATTTATTTCTGTGGAAAAAAATCTGTACTATTATGCCACTCAGATGAAATCATTTGGATTTTAAATTTGTAAAAAGTAGGTTCTAAGAGGTTGAATTTAGTATTTATCTGTCCTGATATGCATAGTCGAATGGTTTTGTATTAGATGGCAGAGGTATTTGTAATGGAATTGAAAGCTATAGTCTCCTTCGGAACAAAATTATAGTAGAAGGTGGTAATTTTTTAAGTAATCATAATGTATTTGGTTTTTGAGAATAATAACATCTATTAAAGTATGCAGAGAACTAAATTCTTAAGTTTCATGACTGAATTTGTAAGGACTAATGTTTAAAGACCAAGTTTTAACAATTTTATTTTCTTAACCCAACAGTTGGGTAACTCTAACTTTGTGAGAGTTTAGCAAAGACTTTAGTTGGTTATTTGTGAAAAATCCTGTGTAATATTTAGAAGTCCATATGGTATCATGTTACTACCTTCCTGTATAATGAAAAAACTATTATTTTCTGATACTTGATTGAAGTTTGTTTTAGAATTCTGATTAGATAGGCAGTTGTACCTTCTCAAGTTTGAACTTCAAGTGAACTTGAAAAGAACACTTAAAATAGTGTACTGTATGAGGGAAATTTTGTAATCAAGACATCACTTACGTTTCTGCCAAGCTCTCTTTCCGTGGGTAGAAGTGTTAGGAGAGATTTGGGGGATGATGAAGAGTAGTACTTTTCTCTAAAGGACTCACATCTTGTGCATCTCTTCCATTGCTGTTTCATTTATCCACTTTTGCTTGCTGGAATGAATATGCTAATTTATCATCAGTTATTTACTTGGCTATTTGTTGATTATTCTATTAAGATGCGTGGCGGGTATAGAAATGGAGAATGTGACTAAAGAGTCTAACTAGGAAAGATGAAATAAACTAAGGAGGACCTAGAGAATAGGGTTTAATGGCCTGTGTGGAGGGGATGATGGTGGGTGAGCTGTGCTTTGAAGAAGCGTTAGTTTAGGGGCAGGTGAAAGAAGAAAGCACCTGTGGAGCACACAGGCTGGAGTGAGTGTGCCGTATGTGGGACTCAGTTCATTTTATAAACATCTGCTGAGCACTTGCTATGTTTCAGGAACTGTTGAATACAAAGATGAATACATTCCCCACCCTGTAGAAGTTCATAAACTAGTTTGGGAGACATCCAGCTATAATAATATGGAGGGAGTTGTTGTAATACTGTATGATATCATTGTCATATACCTGATGGGTTGCTTTTGTAGTGCATGGTATCATTTAGTTATGTTTCAGCAAGAAACATGTAATTATGGAAGGGACTCAGAAATGTAATATATATATATGTAAATATATATAAAAACTTATGTTATCTATTGCTGCATAACAAATTACCCCAGAGTTTAGCAGCTTAAAACAACTGGCCTTTATCTCCCAATTTTTGTCCATTGGGAATCTGGGTGCCACTTAGCTGGGTGCTTGTGGCTCAGGGTCTCTCACTAGACTGCCTGTAGGTGTTGACCAAGACTGCAGGCATCTCAAGGCTTGACTGGGGAGGATCTACTTCCAGACTCACTCACCTCGCTCCTGGCCGGCCTCAGGTCCTCACTGGCTGCTGGCTGGAGACATTGGTTCCTTGCCACATCAGCCTTTCATGGGGCTGCTCACAACATGACAGCTGTGACAGCTTACTTTCCCTGGAAAGAGGGATCTAAGATACAGCGAGTGAGAAATGACCCCAAATGGAAGGCATGCCCTTTTTATAACCTAATGTGGAAGTGAAATCCAGTCCCTTCTGCTTTATTCTGTTTGTTAGAAGCTAGTCACGAAATGCAGCCCACACTCAAGGAGCAGAATAACCTAAAGGTGTGTGCAGGAATAACTGGGGGCCATCCTAAAGGCTGCCTGCCCCAAAATTCTATAAGCAGTTAATATATATTGAGCAACCCTGAATCTTTGGGGTAGAAGGAAGAAGAAGAACCAGGCAAGGAACTTTTCTGTTGGAAAAAAAACATGTATAATTAACCTGAATCACAAATGTTCTTGCTAAAGATCCGTAAGCTTAGTTTTGATGTTGTCTTAATATTTATTCTAGGAATAAATGGTAAAATGAGTTAATTCCACCCTCATTAAACTTTCTGTGGAAGTGATCTCATTTCTGGGAGTTGTTTTTATGCCTTTTTAAAGCAAAGTAATCATAAATGAGAAAAAAGCTATTGTTTGTGGCATAGCAGAGAAGTTTAAAAGTGTACCTCAATTTAAGTAGTAGGTAAGGTCCTTTAAGAATTGTGTGTTCTTAGTGAAATCATTTAGAACGAATTATAGGAGCTCAGTCTTTTAAAGAACCTTGATGGAAATCTTTTATTATATTCTACTTTTAACATAGCTAGATTAATTGATTGTGTGTACGGTGTTGAAAGGTTGAATGGTAGAGAGAAAAGAAGCACAGTTTTGAAGACTGCGATTTGTGTCCAGGCTTCACAACCAATTAGAAGTGTGACCTCAGGCAATCCTGTTGACTTCCCTGAGCTCAAGTTTACTGTCTGTAATATAGATAAATACATATGAAAGAAAATACTTTGACATGAAGAGTGATAGATTTTTTTTTTTGAAACTTACTAAAATCTTCATTTTCTTTCAGAAACAATATAATTATGTTTAAATGTCACACTGCTTCCCAATTTTCTGTCAGGATCCTAACCTAGAAAATGCTACTCGGTAATTCTTAAGTTCAGCATAATCATTTTACTCAGAAAAGACGAGAGTACCCTTGCTTATTTTACACTCAAGTATGTGACGTTGTACTTGGGGCCTGTAGCAACATAGAGGCATGCCAAAGTAGTTCTTCAGAAATAGTGAGATAACATTTTTACTGAAGTAATTGCAATTTTACTGAAATTAGTACGATTTTCTGTTATGAAGATTTACTGGAATGTACTTGAGAGAAATACTTGGAACAGGGAAGTTTATTATATGCTTATATACATGTTTTCCACCAGGAGGGAACAAAACTGTGTCTTTCTGATATGTCGAATAGGAGATAAAATTCTTACTTATGGATTACTTTATAGATTTTTTTCTTTAATTTATTTCAAGATTGTTCCCCTTCAATCTTGGATGAATGAAATGACTTTTACAAGTTGTTTAAATGCTTTAATCTTCAGGTTTCGCTCATAAAGTTCACTCATTGTTTTGGGAATTTGGGCAGCTACTCTAATTAATGGTATATAGAGAGAATTGGGGGTTACAGATTACTTGAACCAAAGCACAATTAACTGTTAACTGTTTTCCTTTCTTCTTCTGTGATGAACCTATAGTAACAGTGCTAGCATAACCAACCTTGTTTTTTACATGACTTGTTGTGGATAATCATGTCCATTATATAATGGTTTGCTATGACCTGATTAATATGTAATAATAATAATTTTTATATAAAATATGGAACTTAATTCCGTGTTCCAGCACCAAGCTTTAATGGAGTCCTCCATGGCTGCTTTTAAAGCTTTCAAGTTGAAAGGGACTTGTGATGGTATTAGATTTATGCAAAGCAGAGATACTTCTGTTATCTTTCCTATTTTGCTTTTGAAATTAATACTGACTTATTTTAATATAATAGTTTGTAACCTTCATCAATGAAATTTTAGCTATAATTGAGCTAGAATAGAATACTTTGCTTAAATGAGTCTCTTGGTTTGGGGATGCATATTGATGAGTCTTAAGTCTCTGTTCTTAGAAAGACTGGTTGGGTGACTTTTATCACAAGCCTCATTGTGTGTAATTTGGTGCCTCATTGAACAGAGGAGGATACATAGAAACTTTTTAAATGGTGTGAAATTATATACTCTTCCTAAGTTTTGTTTCATAGCACTTCGGAATGGAGTTTTGGTTTTCACTTTGAGCATTTAACTAGACCTGAATATTTTGCAAGGTTTTTTTGTTTTTGTTTTTTACAGGACAGGGAACAACTTACTGGTGAAACCTGGAGACGCTGGAGAACTAAATTCACAGACTGAGAGTAACTGACTTAAATTACAGTTTTAAAGTATGGATATGTCGTAGACACATACTGTGTTTAATAATCTTTCTGTATGAGGAGAAAAGGCACTTAGGCACACTGTTGTATTTTCTAGTGATGTCTGTTCTCAGGTCTTCTAAGGATTTATGTTCAATCCTTATTAAGAGCAACAATGCATTTTGTTACAGGTTTTAGAATCCTGTCATTTATACCAAACCGTCAGATCTGTGTCTAAGTGATGATGATAACAACTGATATTAATTACGTGTGTCCCATATGCCAGGCAGTGTGCTAAATACTTTATGTGCATTATCTCGCTTAATCTTTAGGGGATAATGGCAATTTACCAGTGAGGAAGCGAGGGCTTGGAGAGGTTAAGTAACTTACCCAAAGCAGAGCCAGGTTAGAATAGTTGGATTTATTGTCCCTTGGGTCCTGTTTTGCTTATAGCTAATATCTCTGAAAACCAAAAGTAAGATCATTTGTCTTTCTGGATGCAGATTCAACCTTCATCCTGCTCTTCCTGTTGCTGAAGGTACCCATTTAAGGTCACTGGGAAGTGCCACAGAGTTCAAGGTGCTCTTCTCAAGGCACATGAGTAGCAAAATAGCAAAAGATCAGTGCCAAACTAGATAACCTTCTGTGTGTATGTGTGTGTGACATCATAATGTATTATATGACACATACAATCATTTGCACGAGTATATATTTTATGTTGCTATGTAATCTAGGAATTATTTGTCATCTCTCTTTTGTCCTTGTTTCAATCCATCTGCAAGTCCTGAAGGTTCTATCTCCAGGACACATCCCTAATTTATCTATGTGTCTCTGCTTCCACTGTTGGAGACGTAGTGCAACACTGGTCTTCTTGCCCGAACAAGAAGTTGCAGTCGCCTGATTTCGTCAGCGCCCACTATTGCCCACCCATAATCTCACAGGGTAGATAGAGTGGCCGTAATGATCTTTTTTAAAGCCTAAAAAGAGATCACGTTGCTTTCCTGCCTAAACTGCTTTAAGAGCTTTTCATTGCAATTTAGAGAAAATCCAGCTTTATACATCTATTCTTGCTTACTGTGCTTCAGGCATCCTGGCCACTTGTATATTTTTAATATGTACCAAGTTCTTTCCATCTTGGGTTTTTATACATGCTGTTTCCTCCACCTGGACTCCTCTGGTCATTGACCGTCTTGTAGTTGATTCCGTATCATTTAGTTCTCAGTTCAAATATCAGCATCTCTACGCAGCCTTCCTTGACGGATCTAGATACCCCCCCACCCTAATACTCTCGTTACTGTGTTGTATTTTCTTTTTTGTCATCACTCTGAGTGTGATGTTACTGTAACTTATTGCTTACTTCTTACCTGTTTCTTCCCTACCTGAATGTGGACTTCCTGAGAGCAGGGCTTCTCCTATGCCTAGAAAAGCGTGCCTGGCACATAGCAGCACAATTAAAATTTTATTGAATGAATGAAAAATTTCATGTCACTCTAACATTATATTGTGAATATTTCCCCACAGTCTTAACTATTCAGAAGAGAAGTGGTAAACTCTTGATCTACAGTCCAGATCTGGCCTAAAGACACATTTTATTTGGCTTATTAAACAGTACTGGTGTTTGAGGTATAACTGCCATTCAGTCAAGTGCGCAGGCCTTAAGTGTACAGCTTCATGAATCGTCCTGTTGTGTGTGCCTAAGTAGCCACCTCTCAGATCAAAGTGTACGTGGTGCGCTGATCTCCCCCTTCCAGCTGTTCCCCCTTCCACTGGATAACTTGCGTAGTTACTCTTTTTAATTAGCGTCTAATATTTAAAAATTGGGAGATTTCACATAGAAATCCAGAATTTCAACATTTCTTAAAAAATGGAAAGATGTATCAGCACGGGAATTGCTTTCTTTTTTGGCCACAATTTATTGTGGCTGGGAAGCAGCTGTCCAAAGTGTTGACATGTGTTCTCCAGTTTGCCTGCAGTCTTCACCTCTCCTCTTCCTATCCCTGACCTTGAAATCAATTTCCAGTTGATGTTTATAATTTCATTTGAATTTTTTTTTATGGTGGAGAAATAGTTACTACTTCCATTATCTCTGTAAAAAAGTAGAGGCATCGGGCTTCCCTGGCGGCGCAGTGGTTGAGAGTCCGCCTGCCGATGCAGGGGACACGGGTTCGTGCCCCGGTCCGGGAAGATCCCGCATGCCGCGGAGCGACTGGGCGCGTGAGCCATGGCCGCTGAGCCTGCGCGTCCGGAGCCTTGCTCCGCAACGGGAGAGGCCACAGCGGTGGGAGGCCCACGTACCGGAAAAAAAAAAAAAAAGTAGAGGCATCAATGATAGACTAAAACGATTATGTGTTTCTTAGTCTACTTTATTCCTATGCATTTCTTAACTTTTGTGTATGTGTTAGCCACCCTAATTCTACATGGCTGTGTTTAAAGGTTACACGGTATTCGAGTGTATAAATGTATTATTTATGTAACCAGTCTCCTACTGTGGAACATATATGTTATTTCTGGGTTTTTTTTTTTTTTTTTGGTATTGTAAAGAACAATATGTAGGTGAATCTTTGTGAAGATTGTTATTTTATTAGGATAAAATTTTAAAAGAGGAATTCCTGGATCAAAATATATTTTCATTATTAAGATTTTTGATACATATTGCCAGATTGCTTGGTAGTAGTATAAATTGATCTAATTTTTCTGGAGAGCAGTGTACGGGAGTACTCAGTTCACTACGTCTATGCCAACACTAGGAATTGTAATTAAAAGGTTTGTTAGTATAGTTAGTAAAAACAACAAAAAATGGGAATGCTGGCCAAGAAATTTTTCATCTTTTCATCTACGTAAGTAGGAATTGTACTTTAAAGGGTATAGTTTGGAAATATTTATTAGTTAGTACAATTCTGTACCTTATATTGTGAGTCAGATCATGTACCGTGTACTTTGTGTATGAAGTAATGCGAATACCTTAGTATAACTCGAGAAGCCATTTACCTTGATTCTTGCACACACACACACAATTATTATTATTAAGCTCCACCATGTTCTGTATGAGAGTACAGGTGAGTAAATAATGCAGAATCCATCTGTTTTGAAGTACATACAACTAATTCTTACATATTGGCTTTATATTTGCTTTCATATTTTTAATTAGATGCTGTTATTCTGTGATTTGTTTCCTAAGGAGATGCCTACATAGAAGAGTGACAGCAGCTGGGCTGAATGTTTCACTGCTGAACTGGTTCCTCAGGTATCCTGGCTCTGGCGATTGCTATGGGAGATTGGATGACTGTTACAGATCCAGGTCTGTCTTCAGGTAACTGAGTTTAGAATAGTTGTAAGCAAAAGCAGTAATTATAAAGGTTAATTTTCAATGACACTGTAATTACCAAAAATATTGAAGATGTAACTAGAGAGAGACATAAATAGTTGTAAAATATATAATTTTCATCTTCAGTAAAATTATCACGGAGAGCTAAGTATTGTGCCTAATCAGTGGGGTTAAGTGCTTTGGCTGACTAGTTGATTACTTGAGGAGGAAACTTTTCTGCATTTGAAATAAATTCATTGGCTACTCCAGTACATTTCTCTGATTTATTCCTTTAATCACATAAACTTTGAGTGCATAGACAAGTGGGTTTTATCTATCAGTTTTATAAATCTAAAGTATTGTAAATTAAGATAGTATATTGTAGCTTAACATGCCTTTTCTAGGAGCACCACTTTATTAGTTGTATCTTTTTGGAAAAAATTATGTAGTTTTCATACAAAAACCAGCTTTGTCCTAATTTGAAAAAACTTAAAAATATTTCTATAATTCAAAATCTTTGGTAATGGAGATTATGTTGTTAGCTTTGCATGCATTTTTACAAATTATTTACATAAATGCCTTTTACTGATTCTTTCAGAAAGCAAATATATCTCTCAATATACCTCAGAAACAAAGATGTCTCCATCAAGTTTATACTCACAGCAAGTGCTATGCTCTTCAATACCTTTATCAAAAAATGTGCACAGTTTTTTTAGTGCCTTCTGCACAGAAGAGAATATTGAACAAAGTATTTCATATCTTGATCAGGTAACATGTTTTGTTTTTGTAAGAAGCAATAAATAACATAAATCATGTTATATAATAGAACATATCAAAGGTATGAGAAAAACTTGTCAAGCACAAGTATGTTACATATTGGCCCGGGACTTATATTAGATTTGCAGAGAACCTTGGTGACCATCTAGTCTAGATACACGAGGTAAACTTTTTTGTCTGTCTGGATCAGGTTGGATCCCCCATCACCCCAGGGGCTCCTCCACGGGGAGTCTTACCCTTATTTTACTGATGCAGAAACCTAAGTGCCTTCTCCAGATCACAGGCGATCGTAGAGCAGAGGCTAAAAGAGCGCAGTTCTCTTAATTCTTTGTCCTTTGGCATAGGTGCTACTTTCTTAACTATTCTCAGGATAGTTTTCTTTCTCAGAAAAGATTTCTGTCTTTTGTTTATTTATTAAGTTGTCCGGTAACCAACTTTTAGGAAAACATTTTCTCCTACTAGGAATTGACTACTTTCGGTTTTCCTTCATTATATGAAGAATCCAAAGGTAAAGAGACAAAGAGAGAATTAAATATAGTTGCTGTTTTAAATTGTATGAATGAGCTACTTGTACTTCAGCGGAAGAACCTTCTAGCTCAGGAAAATGTGGAAACACAGAATCTGAAACTGGGAAGCGATATGGACCATCTGCAGAACTGCTATGCAAAACTTAAGGTAGAAATTACATCTCAATCTGTATTTCAATGCCATTGTTATGTAGTTTGAAACTATAAATTTTCATTGGATTTTTTTAGCAAACACATTTTAGGGTTTTTTTTTTTTTTAAGTTTTAGGATTTTTTTAAACTGGAAAGTAAAACTGAATGTAATTTGTACAAATCAGTTGTGCTGCTTCCTAATACTATCTATATCGAAGGCGCTGATTTTATGAACTGTTTAGTGTCTTGCTGAAACTGTAGAAAGTTAGATTAGGAAGTACTTATATCTGAGGAAAATAAAATAAGGATTCTCCCACCCTATCCAGTCTTGCTTAATAAAGTAGATGCTTAACTTAAAATAGTCTTATTGTGAGAGATTGCATCAATTTGATTGCATCAAATTTCAAGAATATTCTTGAGAGCATCTGTGCCCTCTAGGAGAAATCTTGAGTTTACCGCTTGCAAGGCAGAACTGGCGTCATGCTGTAGTCCCACCCTTTTTGACCTGAAGTGTTCTACTTTGCTTGGTCACCTGTCTTCTTCATACTTAGCTCCAAATCATTTTTGGCTCTTTCTCAGAGTGTGCCGTAGAAGTGTTAAAAAGTATTAAAACAGAAATTATGAAAATGTTCAGTGGCAACATCACTGGAATAGGTAAAGAGTCTTTCAAGGGATCCGCTTTGAAGGTCTTTTGTATACACATTAAAAATCGGTATTTAAATTAAATAAAATTTGATATTCAAATTTAGGTAAATTTTGTAACACTATAGTATCAAGCTTTATAGTAATTGTTTTAAATAAACATTTTGTGTGGTGCTAAACTTCAATTTTAGGTAACAAACCCTAGTTTATGTAACTTGTTTTTACTAATCTTTTAAGGATTCAGTTGCTCTGAATCCTATGTTAATTTTAGTCAAAATTGCATATGAATGTTTTAGGAGCAGCTGGAAACCTCCAGGAGAGAAATGATTGGTCTTCAGGAAAGAGACAGACAGTTACAATGCAAGAACAGGAATTTGCATCAGCTACTGAAAAATGAGAAAGATGAGGTGAGTTGTCAGTTATTGTAGATAAAGTTTAAGTGAATTTTTTTTTTTTTCTTTTGGAATTTGAGGTGACCATAATGGTCATGACTTTAAAACAAGAAAGAACCATTTGTTCACCCTGTGTCACATTGGCCTGGAGGAACTGTGTGTATAGTGTCGTATCACATTTAACTGAGAGGCCAGGAGCCCTCCCCACCAACCTCTCCCCCAAGCGCATCCATTTGCCCTAGTAGGTTAGTCCAGAGCTCGTGACATCCCAGTGTCCTATACCATCTGTCGTAGACTCACAAGCACTGTTAACTTTTTGTCAGACACAAGGGCGCTTTAAATGCAGATCTTTTATTCTCTGCTATACCTTTACTTATATCTGGAATGCCTCTTCTTGCAGTGTCTTAAATGTCAACATTGTTCATCCAGTCAGGCAATTACTTGACTAAATGGACACTCAAGTTACTGTTTAAAAAAAGCAATTCAGATTAAAAATCTCATTTTTAGGCTGAAGACATCATAATTCTAATCTCATTTTTGCTTTATTGATTACTTAGTATTTGGACCTATAGAGTTAATGCATTTGAAATTATCTTTCAATTTATGTAAGAAGAAATCATTATGTTTTTATTGCTCTGCAGTTTGACTTCTGACCACGTGATAACTATAAAACCATAACATTTTCAGTGTTGTATATGTTGCTCACTATAATTAAAGACTTTTAAGGGAGCGTATTTCTTTAAGGACCTTTTAATGATTTAGACAGATTTGTTTTACCAAATTTGATTATTTAGTAGTATATTTAGTAAGTGGGTAAGAAGTATCTTAACTAAACCACAAGGTTACTTATACTTTTCCTTGAGTTATTTCACAGAAAATTTTGACTTAATCTGTTGATTATACTTGAAATGTTTTGACTATAGTTCTTCCTCAGTGAGGATTAAGTTGAACACGATCATCTCTAACAGAGATAAAGAATGTCGGTATAGAACTTACTTCCTCTCCAGGGCTGCATGAGGAGTCTTAGTAGATATAAACATTGACCAGTAGTGCTTGGCATATAATACGTACTCAGCAAATGTCTGAACTGGATTCTCTCTGCTGTTTGTCTCACTCTAATTTGAGAACTGTTTTTGATCAGAGAAAAATGAACCTGTTTATCTGCTGCCAAGTGTCATGACTAATTGGCCTTGTCACAGATTGATAAAGGATAAAGTGATTCAAGTCATTAGTAAAAGGAAGTCATTACAAATGATCAGATGAAATCTGCTTGCTTCAAATGAAGCTTTAATCACATTAATACTTCCATAAGAGTTTGTGGTTTCTAAATGATCAGAATCTGTATGTAGCGTGAAAGGTGTAGACGATAATTTAGAGAGCAGCTCTGGAAATTTCATAGTTAAAACATAAAAACTTTATGTGCTTCATTTAATGATATTTTAAAGAGTGATTTCCAGTGGTTACAGAGAAGGAGGAATAATCCTAGAATTCTTAAACTATTATATGAGGAGCTGAATTCTAGGCTTCTTTTCTCTACTGAATTTGTAAATTTTAACGGGGTTTACTAGTCCTAAAGGGACTCACTTAATAGAAAATGCTTTTTTTAGGTGCAGAAATTACAAAACATTATTGCAAGTCGAGCTACTCAATATAATCATGATATGAAGAGAAAAGAGCGTGAATATAATAAACTAAAGGAACGTCTACATCAACTTGTTATGAACAAGAAGGATAAAAAAATAGGTAAGGAGCAGCTGGCTAAGATAAAGCAAAGGGAACAAATAAGCTAGTATTACATTAAGAAACAAATGTAGAGGGATTGAGCTCAATAATTCATGAAGTGTCCTTTTCATGCTTTATACAATTGATTTTAGATGGTATATATCCATGTAAACTAGAAATTGAGACAACTGGTTAGTTGAAAAATAGTAATTTTGCTTTACTCCATTAGTTGCATATAAGAATTGCATATATATTTGTTAACATGACAGATGTAGGATTAATCCACAGAGAAAAGCTAATCCAGAGGACACTCTAACCTTTCATAGCAAAGAACTGATTATATTAAAAATCAGGATCAGTTTCTGAGTACCAAAAGTGTGATTTTTGAGTTAACTTCATAAAATGGTTCATCAGGCCAAATCATTCATGTCAGTTTGAGTTCTTTTAAATTAGTTTAGCTGTGCATTTTTTTTTTTTTTTTTTTTTTTTTTTTTGCGGTACGCGGGCCTCTCACTGTTGTGGGCCTCTCCCATTGCGGAGCACAGGCTCCGGACGTGCAGGCTCAGCGGCCATGGCTCACGGGCCCAGCTGCTCTGCGGCATGTGGGATCTTCCTGGACCGGGGCATGAACCCGTGTCCCCTGCATCGGCAGGTGGACTCCCAACCACTGCGCCACCAGGGAAGCCCTAGCTGTGCATTTTTGAAGTACAGCCGACTGGGAAAGTTTTGTTTGTTAAAGTATACTTTTTTTCTATTATTCTTTTGAAACTTAATTTACAACTTATTTCATTCAAGTTTGTGCATAATTCCAAGTAAATAGTATAGATTAAAAAGTAGAACTACACTATTCAGCCATAGAAAAGAACGAAATAATGCCATTTGCAGCAACATGAATGCAACTAGAGATTATCATACTAAGTGAAGTAAGTCAAAGGAGAAATACAAATACCATATGATATCACTTATATGTGGAATCTAAAATATGGCACAAATGAACCTATCTACAAAACAGAAACAGACTCACAGACATAGAGAGCAGACTTATGGTTGCCATGGGGGAGGGGAGGAAGGAGGAGGGGTGGACTGGGAGTTTGGGGTTAATAGATGCAAACTATTACATTTAGAATGGATAAACAACAAGGTCCTACTGTATGGCAAAGGGAACTATATCCAATCTCCTGGGATAAACCATAGTGGGAAAGAATATAAATAAAGAATGTATATATGTGTAATAACTGAGTCATTTAGCTGTACAGTAGAAACTAGCACAACACTGTAAATTAACTGTAATTCAATAAAAAAAAAATAGAACTACACACACACAAAAGTAGAGCTGCACAGATAAAGTGTTGCTGGCCTGCCAAGATTCAGGGAACAGGAAATATGTGCATTGATTTATTGAAGAGTGGTTTCCAAGTGGGCTACAGGCTGTCATCTAACCTACTTTATACATTATTCTGAACTTGGACTTGCATACAACAGCTGATGAGCAGATGTTTCAAGCTGTCACATGGTGGGCTAAGCCTGTTACCAGCAAGCAGTTCAGTGTTCACTGTGTCACTGTCATTCTGTACAGCAGCGCTGTTGCAGTTTTTTGAACATTTTATTTTAAAATTATTGAAAAATTTAAGTGTGATAAGTAGCAGTTAAGACAAGATTAGAAATCTAAGTATTCTGAGATTATAAATCTTAAACTTGGACACATTGGTTTTTAAGATTGGTTAACCTTGTGTTCATTCATAAAGGGAATAGCAAAATTAAAGAGCAGGATGAAATGCTAGAAGTATAAAATGTAACAGTTAGAGAAGTTTATTAAATACTTAACCCTATAGCAGAGCCCTTATATTATGGTCGTCTGGCTCTTTTCCTGGTCCAGACCCAACTGGAAGTGACAGTTCTGTAATGATTTTTATCAGCTCTAAAATTTTAATAACTTATTCTCATCTTTTTTCCTTCTTATGCCAACTGCTTTCATCTCTACCTGGGGCAGAAGAGACATTAATACTGTCAGGAGCCTTGTCTCCTTTGATGATGAGGATGATCCTCAGGTGGTCATGATACAGGGCATGGCAAACTTTCTGTAGTGATCCAAATAGTAAATATTTTGAGGTTTGTGGGTTCTGTGGTCTTTTGTCACTCTGCCACTGTAGTGCAAAAGTAGCTATAGAAAAGAGATGAACAAATGGTGTGGCTATGTTCTAATAAAACTTTATTTACAAAATCAGGCAGCTGCCCACAGGCCATAGTTTACTAACCCCGATGATAAAATTAATAATGATAATTAAATGAACACTTATTAAGTGCTTACTGTGTTAAGTACTTTAACATTTCTTTCACTCTTCACAACTCTTTGATAGATACTTTCATTATTCCCACCCAATTGATGAAGAAACAGGCTTAGCAGTTAAGTAACTTGCCAAGATCTCAGGCTTATGAGTGATGGAACTGGAACTTAAAAATCTGGGCTGTTTGAGCCTAAATCCTAATTTGTATACCAGTTGACTTACGTCCCTAACGCATGTAGACCATTGGGGTTTTAAACACTTAAACTTGTATGGTAAGAATTGGTTTTGTTCTGTGTGTTCATGTTTGTAGCTATGGAAGTTTTAAATTACGTGGGGAGAGCAGATGGAAAAAGAGGCTCCTGGAGGACGGGTAAAACTGAAGCCAGGTAAGGCACGAATGAAACTGACACATTTAATCAGACTTCCCTTTCTATACTGCATTTTCATACTGACAGTTTCTTTCTCAGGAACGAAGATGAAATGTATAAAATTCTCTTGAATGATTATGAATATCGTCAGAAACAAATCCTAATGGAAAATGCTGAACTTAAGAAGGTTCTTCAGCAAATGAAAAAGGAAATGATTTCTCTTCTTTCTCCCCAAAAGCAGAAACCTAGAGAAAGAGCAGATGATAGTACAGGAACTGTAAGTGGCTCTTTCCTCTCTAATACAGTCTTCAGATCGCTGATTAGAACAATTAAAACAGTAGATAGGGATTCTCAATGGGGACGCTGTTGATATTTTGCGCAGGACACTCACTGCTCTGCTACCCCCAGTCACTCTGACAACCAATAAAATGTCCCTGTAAGTTTCCAGACATGCCCTAGGAAATGATGGAGGTGATTTTCTGGGGACTTAATCTGTGCCAAGCACCATGAAAAGCACTTTATAAGCATTGTCTCATTTTAGTCTTATAATAATTGATGCTTTGGGTACTATGATTATCCCTATTTTATAGGTGAGGAAATTGAGGCACAAAAGCTATCTCAGTATCACGCATGACAGAACTAGGATTTGAATCCAAGTCTGTCTCACTCCAGAGCTCATGCTTTTAACCACTGTGCCAAATATCCTTTAAGTAGCTTAAATGTTGAGTAACTTTAGCAGGCTCTACTTTTCAGAGAGTGAAACTTTTATTAACTTTGGGAACCAAAGAATCACTTAGTCCATAAATTTATTGAATGTTCGTTATGTGTTCTAGTCCCTGGAGAGAAAAAGCTGAGAAGATTTTGACTGTTTCCTTTGCCTTAGTTCAGGCTGCTAAAGCAAAGTACCATAGACTGGTTGGCTTATAAACAAAAAAAAATTTATTTCTCACAATTCTGGAGGCAATCAGGATGCCAGCAGGGTTGGTGTCTGTGAGGGCCCTTTTCATGGTTGGATTGCTGACTTCTTTATCCTCATATGGTGGGAAAAGGTGAGAGAGCTCACTGGGGCCCCATTTATGAGGGCTTCACCCTCATGACCTAATCACTTCCCTAAGATCACCCACCTCCGAATGCCATCACATTGGAGGTTAGGATTTCAACATAAGAATTCTGAGAGAACACAAACATTCAGACCATTGCATCCCACAGGAACCTTTTTTGAGAGAGACAGGCATATAGAGAAGTAATTATTATACACATTAACAGCTATAATAGGGTGGTACAGTATGTAAAATAAAACAATTATGGCAATCAAGAAAGGCATCACAGGGGAAGTCACATTTGAATTGGCCCTTAGTAGGTGTTTTTTGAGGTAGAAAGCCTGGGGAAATCATTTGATGAGGGCATAACATGTAGAGGTCAGAAAAAAAAGTCACATAATGGTGAAAATGTTTTTAAACTTAGTTCTTTACATATAAATTTAAATTCTGGACTCAAGCAAGTTCACATTAGTAACTAAAACCTGAAAATAACAATGTTGATGAAGAGTAGTAATTACCAGTAAGTCACCAAACATGTTTTATTAACCTATATTTGAGGATTATTTTGTGGTTTCACAAATCAGTCCAACTGATAAGCTCATCTCCTTTTTTTTTCTTCTTTAAAAAAAGAACCTGAATGTTCTTTTTAGACTCTCCAATTTGGGGTCTGCTTGACATATCTTTATTCAGTTAACTAACCTTTTCTCTCAAAGTCTATCACTTTGGGTCAGTTCTTAACACTCACTAATACCTTGCCAGGGTTAGCATAGTTTCTGTAACTCCTGTGGTTTCTTCAGTTTTGGACCCAACCTTTACTTATGTCTCATTACCAGCTTTTAGTCAGCAAAAGTAGGTAGTAAATCAAGGAGATCTTTTTCAGATGATAGTATCCTGTATAATTTCTCATAATTCAAGTGTTGAAGTTTGGAGAAACAATAATATCTTAAGTGTATTTTCTGTTTTTTAAAAGATCCTTTTTTTCTAGTTACATTATCTCTTAAAATTTAAGTAATTCACCTATTCCTTACTTGTAAGGAAAGATTGGGGCCCATTATAGCAAGAAGGGTAAGACATAACCTTGGAATGCCTAGGTAGCATCCAAATTTTCATTTATTATTTTGCTTAATTGTAGCCAAAATATATACCCAAAATTCACGTTAAATGCATTTTTAATTTTTTTGTGGTTTTAGAGTTTCACTCAATCTGGCAGTTATTAATGTGCAGCAGTTAATTTTAATAATGAATTTGTAGTATGCTGGTATGCCTTGAAATGTATAGCAGAGAAGGTGTAGCTCCTTGGAAGAATTACTGTCAGGTAGCTCCAGAGTGTTGATTGGCAAGAACCAGAGTCACAAGGAGCCACACCCTGGGTTTTTCCCCACCTACGCGCCCTGGGAGACCTAGACCTCTACCAACCCATTGCTGACCTCAGACTATTGATACAGTTCTTCAGACTCAGTCACTCCCTCACTCCTGCTGCATCTATCAGTACATGTGGGAACAGTCTAATCAGCCCTTCTTTCTTTTCATCGTCTCTTCTTTTTTTTTTTCCCCAGCAAGATGTATTGTTCAAATTAGTTAAGTATATGTATCTACTATCCTGGATGTTAATAACAAATTAGGACCATTTTATGTAGATGCAGGTTATTATGACTAAATGTATTATGAATACATTTGGTATTGCTTCCCTATGTTCTTTAGCCTGCTTTTGACTTTATTTGATCATATCAGTAAAGGTTGCTACTGGATTTAATCTGAAAATGCATGTAAATAGAGTACAGAGAAAAATATCTCCAGTTTTATAAAAAAAATTATATGAGAAAAATAGGATTAACAGTTGCTTTTACTTTGGAGATTATTTCACAGGTTTATTTGTCAAAGCAACCAAAAAGTGGAGGCAAGTTGGACTGGAGCTGTGTGACATCAGGAAAGTTAGTCTGCTTCTCTAAGCTTCAGTTTCCCCACGTGGTAACATGATTTGAGGACTAATTAACATGTGAAAGCACCTAATAGCATGAGGCAGGTTCCTCTTCCTTACACAGTTCCATGACTTTTGACACTAACTATGTTGGGCTTCAAATTCAGCTTTGAAGAGACCTGAGTTGGGGAATTTCTATCTTCAGTATTAATTGCTTTTTCTCCAAGACATTTATGTTAAGGACTGGGTCATTTATGCTTCAGTTACAGCACAGAAATGATTTTGATATGTGTCTCTGACCCAGTCTGATGACTACTGCCTGAGTGTCTAAAGCCATTTTAAGATTCTGGTCTTTCCCTCTCATCTCTGGCCACTTGCAGGTTATCTCTGATATTGAAGAAGATGCTGGGGAACTGAGTAGAGAGAGTACGTGGGACCTTTCCTGTGAAACTGTGAGAGAGCAGCTTACCAACAGCATCAGAAAACAGTGGAGAATTTTGAAAAGTCATGTAGAAAAACTTGATAACCAAGGTAAGTACTGCCTGACTACAGGTAGCTTGAGCTGTGACACTCAGTAAGCTGACTTCAGTCAGTCACCTAGAAAGGCAAGTTACGGGCTCAGACTGAAGTCCTTAGCTCAGTCTGGTGGTTTGAAAAGCAAGACTCTGCCTACTTCCAGACATGCGGTTTGAACCTCACTGAGAAAAAATGCTTTGCTCTCAGAGTGAATGTCTCTGAAAACAGGACATCATATGTCCATCTGCTCTGAGTGCAGAAGACAATTGAATAAAGTGAACTGAGTCTCTTACTGTATCATGGAAATCGGGAAAATATTAATCATAATATAGTATAAATATGAACCTTTTGCTTATTATTCCTAGATACTTGCCTATTCCTAGGTTGCTAATAATTCATTTCTAAATTATTTTCAAAATAATAGACACTTGTTGCAAAGTATCAATTAGAAAGTGTTGGTTTGGCCAAAAAGTTCGTTCGGTTAACGAATACCTTGTTCAGTAAAGTTCTTGGGTCACTTGTAGACATGTGGATGGACCTAGAGACTGCCATACAGAGTGAAGTAAGTCAGAAAGAGAAAAATATTGTATATTAACTCATATGTGGAATCTAGAAAAATGGTACAGATGAACTGGTTTGCAAGGCAGAAACATAGAGATACAGATGTAGAGAACGAACATATGGACACCAAGTGGGGAAAGCAGGGGGCGGACAATGGTGGTGGAATGAATTGGGAGATTGGGATTGACTGTATACACTGATATATATAAAATAGATAACTAATTAAAAAAAAAAGAAAATTCTTTTAAAAAAAACAAAACAATAGACATTTGATGCAAAATATCAATTAGGTATTGGGTTGGCCAGAAAGTTCGTTCGGTTAGTAAATATATTGTTCTTGGTGGAAATGAAAAAATGTCTTTTATTTTTACTTAAAAACCGAACGAACTTTTTGGCCAACCCAATATATAAAGTAGAATATTCAGGTCTCTATTCCCTATGTGTAACACCTAATAGTTTGGTGCATACCTTTCTAGACCTTTCTCTGTGTGCTCGCAAAATATTTATTTTAAGTGTATACAAACCAAAAATTGAATATTACATGTTTATTTCCTACACTGTGCTTTTTTCACTTAACAGTCTATTATTTTAGATACCACTTCTTGTCATTATAGATAGTATAAATAGATATATGTAGATGAATATATCCTTATTTTATATTTGTTAAGATTTGCATGCTTTTAAATCAAGAAAATTAAGATTTCTGCTAAGTAAATGAAGGCTATTTAAAGAAAATTTATTCTAAATGGTCAAAAATGACAAACTCAGTGCTAATTGTCTCCAAAAATAAAGAGCAATCAGCAAAATTATAGTATCAAAATTACTTTACATGAGATTTTATTGATTTCAGTCATCATTGTCTATTAGTAAATAGCAAGTATTTTCGGACTTCATATTTGTTGAATTTAATAACAGCAAGATTTGTAGCACTGCACTGATCTTTGAGGAAGTGTCAGAAGAACATAGTTTATGAATGTTAATTTTTCTGTGAATATAGGTTGTACATTTTTAATTAGGACATAATCGTGAATAAATATGAATTACAGATTAAATGTTGACAATAGAGCTCTGTAAGTAAGGATATCATTTAGTCCAGAAACAGCACGAATTTATAGTTGCCATGAACTCCTTAGAGCTGCTTTGTGCTTTTTAAAATTTTTTAGTGTTAAAATAATATACATTTTGTTTTATTTTATTACAGCTTATAGAATTTTTAAAGGGCAAAGGAAATACCTACCTTTTAGGAAACCTAGAAGATTCCAGAAAGGGGAAAGTTCTGCGAGCCTTGATTTTTAAACATACGTGTCCAAACACCATAAACTAAAATGATGACTGTAAGGTTTATGTCAAATTACTGGTTTTGTGTTAGTTTCAAAGGTACACCTAGAAGGTTTTAATGATGAAGATGTAATCTCACGTCAAGACCATGAACAAGAAACTGAAAAACTTGAGTTAGAAATTCAACAGTGTAAAGAAATGATTAAAACTCAGCAGCAACTTTTACAGGTAAGTGCGAGGCACCTTTTAAAGCTGGTCTCCCCTGTGAAGGGTCAGAATTTTACTTAATCTTACTATATTTTTACCCCTTTATTTCATAAGATCTGTAGTATTTGACATTTTTCAGTCTAAACTAAGTTCTGTACTTGCCCGGAGATAGACCACGTAGCACCCCTTAGTAGGGGCTTTGCCAGTTAGAAGCATTTGGGAAATGAGACTCCTCATTTCGGTTGACTTTCTGATTCTTTATCATTTCTCTCCTTCCCCTAAAGTTTGACCTGCTTTTCCCTTGTGTTCATTTCAACTTGTTGGAGTGTTGCAGGGACCCTCTGGAACTTACTATGGTTTAAAATTTAATAGCAGCAGCTCGCTACTGCGTGTGATGATGACACCACTTCACTGCTCCGAGACTGTTACTTGTTGGAAGAAAAGGAACGCCTCAAAGAAGAATGGTCCCTATTTAAGGAGCAAAAGAAGAATTTCGAGAAAGAAAGACGAAGCTTTACAGAAGCAGCTATTCGCCTAGGATTGGAGGTATTTTAAGCAATTGGCTTTCCTTGTAGAGCGTTTGAAGGTCCTGGAGAGGTCAGTAGAATGCATCTAAGTTCTGCTTTTTCTTGTTTCTTTGCTATCCATTTTTTTTCTCAAGTATTTTACTAGTGATTTCACAAATAGCTTGAAATGGAAGCTATAACAGAAGGATATCATTTTGCCTTTACCAGATTTGGGAATTGAAAAAAAAATTTTTTATTGAAAAAACTATAAGCATTTATCATCCTTTTTGGGTGGCTTTATTTTATTTTGTTTTGTTTTGTTTTATGTTATTTTTTTGGCTGCATTGGGTCCACGTTGCTGCACGCAGGCTCTCTCTAATTGCGGCAAGCAGGAGCTACTCTTCATTGCAGTGCATGGGCTTCTCATTGCAGTGGCTTCTCTTGTTGCAGAGCATGGACTCTGGGGGCACAGGCTTCAGTAGTTGAGGTGTGTGGGCTCAGTAGTTGTGGCTCATGGGCTCTTGAGCACAGGCTCAGTAGTTGTAGTGTACGGGCTGAGTTGCTCTGCGGCGTGTGGGATCCTTCTGGACCAGGGATCGAACCCGTGTCCCCTGCATTGGCAGGCGGATTCTTAACCGCTGCGCTGCCAGGAAAGTCCGTTGGGTGGCTTTCTACTGTTAAGGGTTTAGCTTCACACAAGAGGTTTCTTTTGGGCATCTGTCATGTCTCCACTGTCAGTAGGTGTAGAGTCAGAAGAGAGTGCAACCAAGAACATGTCTTTTGTTTTTAAAAAAGGGGGTTGGGGTAGAATACAGTAAAAATAAAGTTCTCTCTCTCTCCATCCCCTTACCCAGGGATGAATGCATTAACAGTTAACAGTTTGAACCGTGTGTGTATACACTTCGACAGGTCGCTTTTTTATTTAGCAGTGTATTACCTACATATTTCCTTTTCAAAAATTAGAGAAGTAATGTCTGAAAATGGTTTAAAAAAAGAAATTCAATCCATACAAAAAGCTACAAGGTAAGACGTATCCTCCATTCTTATTGCCAGTTTCATTCCTCAGAAGTAACCACTGTTAAAAGTTTGTGATTCTTCTGGGAAGTACTATTTTAACTTGAAATAAAGTTCAACCTTCCCAGAAGTACTATTTTGATCGATATAAGCCTATCGATCCCCCACTATGAAAGATAAGGAGTTTAGTGTCTTTATCATACCTCCCATCTACACTTTCTCATTTACATATGATTTCTTCATAATATTTTTACTTTTTGAAGCTACTTTTTAAAGAATTATTTCTCCTGGTTGACTTTCTTGCTTTAAGTAAATTTGTTTAATGCTTCCATTTCAGGTTTGCTCAACTTCAGACAGTACAGGTTTATCCCTTGTTGCACTGCTCTTACCCTTCGGTTCCCCATGTTTTGTCTGTGATATTAGTTTCCATTGTCAAGGATTATCACGTTTATATTCTGTCTTTTAATACAATTCAGGTGTAAGTACTTTGTCTAAGATGGAGACTTAAGAATTAAAAACCAGACAGAACGTTGGTAACATAGTGATTATGTAAATGTTATTCATTCTATAGCCAAGTAATTTTTTTGGACACATAAAAAATATTCTGTTATTAAGATTTTGCCACATGGAGGAAAATCTTCCATGTATCACTATGTAGTAAATACTTTGACTTTCTTTGTAGCTTCCTTTATGATTTCCTGAATCAGATTCAACTTATATCTCATGTTATAGTCTCTTTCTTCGGTTCCTTTTCCAATTTGCTGTATTACTTTCTTGAGTCATTTTCTCATAAGTAGTGTGTGAGTGAAAAATATTCTGAATTCTGGAATATCCGAAAAACACATTCTTACTTGATTGGTTTGGCTGGATATAGAATTTAGTTTTCCAACTTTTCCGCTCACAACTTTTGAGTTATTCCATTTCTTCCAGTGTTTTGTTTTGCTCACGAGAAGCCTGGCTGTTATATAACCTGTATTACTTTGTAGATACCTGTGTTTTGTTTTTCCCCCTCTCTGGAAGCTTTTGGAATTTTATGTTCTTAAGAGTTCTGCAGTTTTACCAGGAAAAGTCTGGGTAGCTCCTTTCGGCCTGAAGACACTATATTTCTTCAGCTTAGGGATATTTTCTTCAATTCTGTATTTTTTCCTTCTTCTCTTGCATTCTGGAACTTCTGTTAGACAAATGTTTTGCCTTCTGACTACATCTATAGATTGACTTTATGTCCTGAATTCAGGAATATTTTCTCACTCTTATCTTGGGCATCACCAACCTGGTATTCAGCAAAGGTCAGTTTTATTATTCACTTCATCCACTGAGTTTTTATTTCAGAATTTCTCTTTTAAGTTTTCTAGTGTCCTTATTTTCTGCTTTTTTTTTTTGGTATACCATTATATTTTACAGATATTCATAAATCTGTCTGATAATTTTTGTTATTTGAAAAAAAAGTTTATCTTGAACTGTTTCCCTTGGCCAGTTCTCTTTATTTATCCTGGCCGTGTTTCTTTTATGCTGTTAGTTTTCTTCAGATGTCTGGTGATCCATGATTTTGTATTAATATTTATGAATGAAAGACTATACGTTATCTTAAGTAGCTGACATGACCTTCCTCTGTAATTACAAAAGCCTGTGTCATCAATAGCTATCTCCCTCAGGAGGCAAAAATAGTTTGCCCCAGCATTTCCTCCTGTCTTCTGGGCTCACCTGTGTTTCTGAGCCCATATCCCCCCGCCACCCCTGATGCTACTCCAAGAGATACTCTTGCTGCTTTGCATACCACTCCCCATTCTCCGCCTGAGACTCTGTCTGCCTCTGGTCACTGAGGACAGTGGGGCCAGTGAAGGATGGGAAGGATGAGAGACCCGAGGGGAGAGGGAGAATTCAGGATTGCTAATTAGCTATTCAGGAGGAGGAGGTTTGACATAGGCCCGAAAGCTGCTAGTACTGGGAGATGGTTGGAGGATGAGATCAGTGCTTGATGAAGTCATCTCTCTTTTTGTTTTTCAAGTGATTAGTTTACAGTGGGGTAAATGTCAATTTTTCTGTCGTTTGTAATCTTATATTTACCATGTTTTGTGTGTTCAAAAGTTATGCTCATATTCCATATGTTTAAAGTTATGCTAACATGCTTATCATTTTGTGTTATACACTTGAATTTATTCAGAATTGATGTGAAAATAGTAGTTGGCTTGTCAGGAGACACAGGTGAATTTTTATTTTTTAAACATAATTTTCTTAACTGAAATTTTTCTTAGTTTTCTAGGGTTAATTCCTTTGACTAAATATATAGAGATAATCAGAGAGCAGACACAAATAGCTAGAGAAATCGTGTGAAATGGCAATTGTGTGAACGTTGAAGTATTGATCGGTATTTCTTTGGTTTGCTTGTGATGGTAGAGAAAGGCATTTGAAGAAGAAAGAGCCAGTTGGTTAAAGCAACAGTTTCTAAATATGACTACCTTTGACCACCAGAACTCAGAAAATGTGAAACTTTTCAGTGCCTTCTCAGGAAGTGAGTACTTCATAAACTCTTTAATCTGAAAATGCATGTAAATAAAGTACTGTAGATTATTATTAATATATAACTTTAGCAGTCACCAGTAAGAACTCTCTAATTGGAACTAAAAATTAACTTTGATATTTTATTTACTGGAGTCAAAATAGAAATGACAGAAGGACTCTGCATACCCAGAGCAAATTTTGTTGTGAATGTAATAATGTCAAGTTTTGAAAATTCACAGTCTAGAAATAGTTTTTAAACTCGATCCTTCTAAATGTTTGTGGACTGTGCATAACAAAGATCACCAGATTACCTAGACTAGACTCAAAGGGCCACAGTGGATATTTAGATTAATTTGTTCTCTCACACCTCACTTAGAACTGCAGATGAATCTAGTCTAGGACCCTAGTTAATTACCTTCACTATATTTAATGCTTTTCCATATGTAGTGCCTTTTTTCCTTCCTTTCTTTTTCTTTTTTTCTTTTTTACACAGGTTCTGATCGGGACAACCCTACAGTACACTCGAGGCCACGGCAAAAGAAGCCTCACGGTGCGCCTAGTGGGTCTCCAGTTTGCACGTCTAAACTTACTAAATCTCTTCCTGCTTCTCCTTCGACTTCAGACTTTTGCCAGATGCGTTCCTGTGTATCTGAATATAGGTACTGGTCTATAGGTGATCTTCTTACATACTTGTTAAAGTGCTAGAGTTGCGTTGCAAAGGAAAAGTTGGCGTGTCTAGGAGGAGCAACAGTAGAGAGTCTGGAGAGGAATTGAGTAGACTGACTCATTCATTGTACAAATATTTATTGGCTATCCATTATGTGTAGACACCTGTTAGGTGCTGGGAATACAGCAGTGAACAAGGTAGCTCTGGTCCCTGTCTTCTGGGAGTTAAGTCATATAATGTGATTCTTTTTATTTCACATGTAAAATACAATTTAAAATACAATCTTATTTCAGGAGTTACTTAATAATTTAATTGTATTGAATAGAAGGATATTGTTTTGATAGTTTCTGTAGAGTACCTATTTTAGAGTTTCTTGTGGTGTGCCCATTTTATTGGTGTGGAAGGACAAGGACCCGAGAAAAGCCCCCTCCCCTTGACTGGTGAAGAGGATCTGTGCCCAAGGATGACAGGGTAGACAGAGTTGCTCCCCACCCCCAGGAGAGCCAGATACTGCTTTTAACTGATGCATTGTGGTATTTTCCTCTGTCTGAAGTTGTTACATCATTTTCTAAGGTATAATATCAGTACTCTACCTCAGAGCCTATTCCAGGATTGATTTTGAACTAAGCAGATAGCACCTTCCTCGGGAAATAGAGAGGAGTAGCAAAGAGCAAAGGGACATGTCGCAGAGTGTGGTGGTGATCGCCCTCCTCTTCACTAACGTAGGAGACAGTGGCACGAGGGCCTTCCCAGGTGCCTTAGAAAGCAGGAGCCAGGGCTGCAGCACAGTTGGCCTGTTGTAGTGAGAGAGAGACTGGTGTGGAGCTAAGTGCTGAAGACACCAGCTAGCCTTTGGACCGAGAATTGTGAAATAGATAATTTTTTTTTTTTTTTTTTTTTTTGCGGTATGCGGGCCTCTCAGTGTTGTGGCCTCTCCCGTTGCGGAGCAGAGACTCCGGACGCGCAGGCTCAGCGGCCATGGCTCACCGGCCCAGCCGCTCTGTGGCATGTGGGATCTTCCCAGACCGGGGCACGAACCCGTGTCCCCTGCCTCGGCAGGCGGACCCTCAACCACTGCGCCACCAGGGAAGCCCGAAATAGATAAATTTTTAAACAAAAATATGAAGTTTTAAAAAAGGACAAGGCACTCTCATTTGTAGTTGGCCTTTAAAAGGATTAGGACTCTAAGTAAACACTGGGGGGCAAAAAAGGAGCTGGGGGAAGAGTCCTCCAGGCAAGTGTAGGAACCCTGAGGCTGGACACGGGTGTGTTTGTGGATGGCGAGTGTAGTTAGTGAGCACGACCAGGAGGTGTGAGGGTGGGAGGTAACATTATGTAAAAGTTCAGATGTATACACAGGTAGAGGGAATGAGGTCAGGGACCCTGTGTACCCATCACCCAGGTTCAGCAGTTACCAACTCACAACTAATATTGTTTATATACAGCCCCACTCTGCTTGTGCTCCCACCACGCACTTGAGATTTCATTTGTCAACTATGTTAGTCTGTACTTGTAAGTCGGATATTGTTCTAAGGGCAATGGAAAAGCATTGGAGACCTTTTAAGTGAGATAATGATTTTTTTAAAAATCCAAGATTTAAAAAGATGACTTCATTTTGGGCTTCCCTGGTGGCGTAGTGGTTGAGAGTCCGCCTGCCGATGCAGGGGACGCGGGTTCGTGCCCCGGTCCGGGAGGATCCCACTTGCCGCGGAGCGGCTGGGCCCTTGAGCCATGGCCGCTGAGCCTGCGCGTCTGGAGCCTGTGCTCCACAGCGGGAGAGGCCACGGCAGTGAGAGGCCCGCGTACCGCAAAAAAAAACAAAAACAAACAAAAAGATTACTTCATTTTATTATATGAGAAACAGATTGTAGGAGCACAAGCCAGGAGAGCCAGTTAAGAAACATTAGTGGAGTTGAGGTGAGAGATGTGGTAATTTGCACCCTACGGTCATTACATGAAGACAGAACTGTGCTGGGATTTAGGCTGTGTTTTGCAGTTAGAGCCAATAGGTTGATGTGTGAAATATGGGAAGTTAAAGTTTGTTTAATTTACAATCAAAAGATAATATAAACTCAGGGTATGTTCTTACATAGAACGTTATTGAAGCCCCCAAATTTGACCAATCAGAACTCTGTGTATAGATTTAGACAGACATTCTGCTCACCATTTACAAATACAGGCAGCCCTCGGAGATGTTGCAGATTCAGTTCCAGACCACTGCAATAAAGCGAGTATCGCAACAAAGCGAGATACTCAAACTTGTTGGTTTCCCAGTGCATATAAAAGTCATGTGTGCACTGTACTGTAATCTATGAAGTGTGCAATAGCATTATGTCTGAAAAAACAATGTACGTACCTTAATTTAAAAATACTTTATCACTAAAAAATGCTAGTTAGTCTGACAACCCAGGGTTGCCATAATCCTCTGTTTGTAAAAAAAAAACTCAGTATCTGCAAAGTGCAATAAGTTGAAATGCCATAAAATGAAGTATGCTTGTAATGCATTCTGTACCTAAAAGAGAACATAGCTTAGTTGCCTCAATTATTTTTATGTATTTAAAATTTTTACTTTTTTACATAATTATTTTTAGTTATAAAGTATTTAACGTAAATATTCCTTGAAGACTTTGTTTTGTGTTTAATAAAAAGTCCAGCATTTAGTACCTACATCATAGGGTACTGTGAGATTCAGTACCAATATATGTAAAGCACTTAAAACAGTACTTGGTCCATTGTAAACCTTCAGTAACAGGCTATAAAAATAAAAATATATGTAAACAGAAGTGGATTATAAAAATGCTTTTCTGTTTCTTGTGTTCAAGAGCTACACTGAGCAATGTCAGTGGCATAGAAACAGAATTTTGGAGCTTAATGAAATTTCATTAAGCTATTCACAGATACTGGCCACTGAGGGTAAAACAAAAGAGTCATGTAACTGGTTATCAGGAGAGAAGCTGTGCAGCTTGACATCATCCTTGAAATTTTTAATTATTTGGTATATTTGGATTCCTGCTCCTAAAGCACCTTGGATCTGGGTTCGTAATAAGATTATGACAAAATAATTAGGAATGTTTGTAGCTAATTTCTACAGCAACAACCCATCATTGCTCCTTCACTGTAGAGTGGAATGTTACGTACGGGCTGTGCCTGGATTCCGTGCAAAGTACCTCTTGTACTAAGTTACGTAGAGAACTTAGTTCATCATTGATCTCATCTCATCTGAGACGGCAGGGATTCTGAATCTGAATTATAAGCAAGTTCCTTTTTTTTTTTTTTAAGCAAGTAAGTGTAAGTAAAATTGTCAATTATGTTTTTGGTTTAGCGTTTTAGAATTAAAGCAACTTAATTTTTTTTAGGATTGCCACATTATAAGGTTGAGTTAGTTAACCAAAGTCACACGAAAAAATGAACATTTAGGCAAAAGAAGTTTTGTGAAAAAAATTATGTAAGATATTCAGTTGATAAAAATGTATTGTTCATTGGTTCAATCCCATGATTTGCAAGTAATCATTTAACTAAATTTCCTTGTTTTGAGGCTGGTTGCAGAGTATACCTCAGACTGTATCTCTGAAGCTAGGGACTGTGTCTGTGTTCAGACACTTAGATTGTTATTGTCCGACACTTAAAGTTAATTGAGCATCATCATTAAGTGCTTAGTGTGTGTTAACTCATTTGGTTCCCACCCCAACCCTGTGAGGTGTAGGTTCTATTATTATTTCCATTTTACAGCTGAGGAAGCTGAAGAACAGGGAGGGTTAACTTGCCAGAAGTGACGTAGTAAGTGGTCCAGCTGGCATATGAACATAAACCATCTGTTCAGGGTCTGGACTCCTAACCACTTTGTGGCACTCATTAAATATCTGCATGAGTGAACGGATGGAGGATGAAAGCATGCATGAACAAATGGATGAGTGAAGAAGGAAACTATAAAGAGATTAGAAACTAGTGACAGAAAGACAGGGGTATGGGGAACATTAGCTTTCAAAACTCACATGGTCTCTATCTACCTTAGGCTCTAGTTGGGTAGCATCCTTCACAGTAGACTGAACAGATAAATAAAATAAATAGATGGATAGATAAAAGTGACCATGTTGAAACACTTCTGTGTTTTTGACCAGTGTGTCCTCAAAATTTACTTAGCATGAGACAAGGGAGTAATCAGATTTTAGACATTCAGGCATATCTAAGGTGTGAAAGGAGGAGGAGATGATGATTAAGATCTCCCTTTTCTTTCCCCAGCAGTTCTATCAGTGTACTAAATACAACCCCTGAAGAATCTAAGCCAAATCAGGTTGGAAGAGAATGTACAAATCAGAAGTGGAGCGTGGCATCAAGGCCTGATTCACAGGAAGGTTGCTGTAGTGGATGCTCCTCGACCCACGCAGATGCTCACATAGAGAAGGATGACTTACCTTAGACATGTGAACTGGGATTTTGTTTTTTTTTCATTAACATGTTCATCAAATTTCACATCTGAGTTGAAACAGGGTGTGTTATAAAGTCAATCATCTCTAATAATTTAAAATGGTCTGTGTTGTTTGTTTGGACTTCCCTGTCCCTCCCCCAAAGAGCTAAAATGTTAAATCTATTTAAAAGGATATAAAAGCTTTGGATATGTATTTTTAGTAACAGAAGCACCTGGTTCTGTGAATAAAGGAATGTATAAACGTCTGGATGCAAACAAAGCACTAGAATGAGTTTCCTCTTATAGGTATTAAAAATAGCACTTTTAGGAAACTGATTATTGTAAATGTTTAATTTTGTCTCATATATAGTTGGCATTGGAAGTTTAGCCTTTCCTTGAATGTATACTGTAGCTTTTTAACAAAGCAAGTTATATATTTATTATGTTTAGTGTGATTTGAAATACCCTCTTTCATATGTTTTAAATAAAGTGAAATTTATGTATGTTTTGTACATAGATATACATGATTATGTTAAGAGGCTTTAAGATTTAAAGATTTTACACATCCATAATTATAGTATTTCATGCCAATAAAATTTTTGTTAGTGATATTCTGTTTACAGATGTATTAGAGCCATTGCCACCTTATGTTTAAGAATTTTTTGAACCCATCTGAGCAATAAATACTGAAAAGGTATTCCATGAAGCCAAGTTCTTTAGATCATTAACATTACTAATGTTACATTTTGGAGATTTCTGTAGCATTAGGTTCTTTTAATATGCAGGATACTACAATTTTTCAAAGGATTATTGATTTTAGCGTAATAGAGGTAAGACAAGAGTACCTTTGGATGAAACAATTTAAGAATATTGGCTTAGGATATTTGGATGATAGAAGATATTAAGATATTTAAGATGTTTGGATGGTGATATTTTCTCTACCAGATGGGTACCCATACCGTAACACCTGTACCAGCAAAGGCTTTGTATAGTTGCCAGTAATTCTTTAATAATTTTTCAATGAGATATTTACTGATAAGGAAATCTGATAACATAAAAGCATCAGATTTTATAGTCCAGATATGATACTCTGGACAAACTTGTCATTTCACTTTCAGGACTGATTGCATGATTCTTCATGGTTGTTATTGTTATTATTATTGATAGTAAGAATAATGTAAGTGTGGGCCCAAGCACTTTCCTAGAATTTTCATCAGAAAGCTTTAAGTACCTAACTCTATTTGTCTCTGCATGTAGAAGCCTACACATACCCAGTCCTTGCTATAGGTATTGTAGTTTAGGCCCATCTGCCTTCCCATTTTCTAGCAGTTTAACCATTTGTATTCACTCACCTGGTTGTGGCTGTTCAGTTTAAATTTGTCATGTTAAAAAAGTACTTTTGTCGGGCTTCCCTGGTGGCTCAGTGGTTGAGAGTCCACCTGCCAATGCAGGAGAGGCCACAACAGTGAGAGGCCCATGTACTGGGGAAAAAAAAAAAGTACTTTTGTCATCCACTCACTCACTATATATATATAACTCTTTGGAGTTGCGTAGCAGCAGCCATTTTTTCAGGGTTAATAGCATATTATTGAGTATCTTGTAAGACATTAGTGAAAGTGCTCATGAGAAAGTACCACATTTATAGTCTCAAAAAGCTGGCTCTTGAGCAAAAGCAAATTAGTCACCACATTCAGCTTGGTGCATGCCCCTTTTTTACCATTTAAAAATATTAGAAATGATGCAGAATTTCAGAAGTAGTACTGTACTCCAAAGGAAGAAACAGCTGTGATATCGTTCTTTTGCTACTGAGCAATAACGTGATCAAAGAAAAGCAATCAAATTTTCTAAATAGGCAGTGATACATTTGTCAAGAATTGGGGTTTTCTTTTCAGGGCTTTCCATGATATACTTGGCTAGAAACAGTGTTCTAATTTTTAGAGTAATCTCTTTTAGGAATATTGCATTCCACAATGATGAATTTCTACAAAGCAGCATCAGTTTTTTGTTTTTTTCATTTTAAAGTTGGTTGAATTCTCATATTGGAGAGAGAAATTCCCTTGAGACTTACTTTGAAATCTAAGGTGTGAAAGAAACAGTAAAATGAAAGCCAGGATCATTGTGCTTTTGATAAAAGATCTGCCAGTAGTTGTATGTTTTACTTAACAGCGTAGAGTTTGCTTTACATTCCGGCTCCAGTGATGATTCCTAGTCATGCTAAACTTCCTAGAATGTTGAAACGGTTTCCATGCTGGATAACTCCTGACTCCACACATAAAACTCCTAGATTTTATTTGCCTTCCCTCTCTAGGTGTTTGCAGTTTACTAGTAATACAGCCGTGCTGCAGTCTTGCATTTAGCCAAGATGAGGTGAGAGAGAACCATGTTCACTTTTGCTTGAAAGTCTTCCTGACCATTTTCAGTGTCTTCTTCTTTATCAGGATGCAGATCTGAAACATTCCGTGCCTTATTTGTTTTTATCCATTTTGAATTTTCAAAGCATAAAGGTGGCAAAGAAAATTTAAGAGATTTTATTTCCTACTCTTAAATGTTTATATCTTCAATTTATGATGAGAAACTTAATAGAACAATCCTACCAGAAAATTAAGATTAAACTTAATAAATAGGTACTTTCTTGTAGAAGCAATGTATTAAATGTGTAGGTTCACGGAGCAATCCATGGCAAATTGTTTTCCTCATGGTATAATTAAAATACTGTCGTTACTTAGAATTGCATTTTTCATACTTTTGCTGACCAGACTTGTTCATAGGCCTATGGTAACACTTTTTTGGGGGAAACATATTCCATAGTACATGGTGAGAAGGAGAGCGCCCTAGAATCCAGTTTTGACCTGCCCTGGTGGAGCGTTTGAAAACGCCCGGAATGCCAGGAGAGGTTTTGCAGTGTGTACGCGCGGAACGCTGTGAGCTAGCAAACCCCTTATGTGATTGCCCTGTTGTAAAAGTCTTGAACACCTGTTGCCTGATGTAAATCATGTTCTTATTTCTAGATTGGATTTAAACTAAGTATGGGTCTTGGAAGTCTAGTAAATATACTTCTCCCTATGTTTGTCCTTAATTTTTTTCATTCTTTTCATAAGCATATAAAAGTAACTGCTGTGTGTCAGGGCTTATTACTACCTTTTGTTACTGGGGAGGGAAAGACAACTAAGCATGCTCCCTGCCACTGAGAATCTCTGGGTTGAGTGGAAGACCAGCTGTATAAACCTAAATTGTCATAAACAATGGGAGATGCTGTTCAGACATTCGGTCTGGTGATAAAACTTGGACTCGTTGTTCTGCTCCAGGATCACGTATCCGTCTCCTAACAGTGACGTGGCAAGCTTCTAGTTAAAGAGTCTTTGCATTATTTCCTATGGGAAGAACTATGTAATTAATATATTACTGTTTTGTTTTTGTTGGGTGTTGGGTTTTGTTTTTGTTTTCTACAATCAAAATACCTGCAAAGCAGCATTAAGAATTTCTGCCCACAAGAACATGTATTATTATCTAATAGAAAAAGAATTTACAAAGATTTGGGCCATGTAGATAAGGATAATAAGATAGGTTATTCTAGTCATTTCTCTAAATATGTTTTTATCAGGTTGGATGTAGATTAAAGTGGAATGGACTGATTAAATTATTTGATTTCTATAAAAATACTTCACTTGACTGGTTGGTTTTTTTGGTTTTGGTTTTGTTTTTTTAACATTTACAAATACCTGATTTCAGAGATCTTAGGAGGTACTGTAATGCCAGTGATACATAAAGATCCTGGTAGAGACCCTCTTATATTTTAGATTCAGAAATACTTATACCTCATATGACGCTTAACCCATAGTAAGCACACAATATTTATTAATGAGAGAGATGAAATACTAATGAAACAAGTAGCACATTACTTCATTGGCATGAATGGACTAAATTTCAGGTCAAAATCCTGAAACTCTTCTTTCTCAGGAGGGCTAGGAGCCTTTTGTTTTGGTTGATTTCCAGCCCTATCTAGCTTGGTTCCTCGCACAGAGAATTGGAATAGAGTAGGCCATTCTACAGTGAAAAACACCAAACTTGTGTGGTTCAATACAAAAATTGAATTCTTGCTCATGAAATGACCAGCGTGGATTGGGCGGTCTGCTCGATGGCCCGCAATGTTGTCAAATCGGGGAAAGAGCAGACCGGCAGGTGATGGTGGATATTAAGAGCCAGATCTGAAAGAGACACGCACATTGCTTTGTCCACAACCTAGACGTACAGCCTCAACCTAACAACAAACGACTGGGAGATGCAGAAAATGAGGCTATTTGGTGAGCACTGACAGCTCTGCTACATAATGTGCTTGATGTGTTACTTACTTTAAAAAAAAAATAACCAGCAAAACATATTGCTCTGTGCAAGGGATTTTTTACTGATTATTTATTAAAGCTTCAAATCGTCTTAATTTTTGGAAGGAATGTATTTTAAGGCTTCTCTTGCCTTCTCTAACCTTTTTTAATGTTTAAGTGGTAATTTTACACGTTTACTAAGATATAGTATACTGAACACATTTTCTTTTGATTCAACAACCCTGCAAAATAGAATATTAACCTTCCTATTTTTAGAGAGTTGGTAACAGACTCAGATATCAAGGGACAAATGCAAGCTCACATAATTATAAGTGACAAAATCAGAACTGAAAAACCCAGATCTTATCATCCCTAAATTTCAACTTATTCCAGACTGCTGTAGTGCCTTTTGGTATGGCTTTCTGAGTGAAATTGTTCAGTTCTTAACCCATAATCTGTCACCCTGTCATCTCCAAAGGTATTGATTGTTTGATCCACATACAAAGCTCACCCTTGTTTTTGTTAATGGTGACCATGGCAGTCCTATTCAGAACTGAATCTCTACCTTTTCAAGTTTAGGGCATTAAGGATCTAATTGAGATAGCCAATTTAATAGCAAATAATACTCTAACAAAAGGTCACTGAGTAATGCCAAGATATACCTAGACAGCCTGCTTTTTCTGCCGTGTCTTTTGTTCTCTCGTAGTGTGTGACTACAGTCACAGTGACCAAAAACATTGTTTTGTCCAATGGTCCAGTAATCTTTTGCAGATATCACCATGAAAAATGAATGTTAAAGTAGTAGAATTAAGTAACGTGTATGAATATTTTTACTCAATTTAGAAAGAACAGCTGCTTGCAGGGCAGCTGGAGATTTTCTAGTTTCCCTGCTGTGTCTGCATTTAGATATTCCGTTTTCTTGTTTCTGGTTTGTCAAGACAGTTTCCTGGTTACAGTGCTCCATTAAAGCAAACCACGCCCCAGCCCAGTGTACGCATTAGAAAAAAGCAGACTTTTGCACGTTCCCTAAAGCCCTCAGACTGAGACCCCAGAACCTGCCCTCCATTCCAGTTCTCTGGACCCAATTCTCTAATATACCTGGTGTCTAAGCTGAGGCGGAAGCTGTCCAGCTAGGGATGGGGTCAGACACTGCTGGTTCTCAACCCTAACAAGTGTCGGCACCTAGTCCTCTCCAGCCCTTACGTGTGGTCATTACTTGATTACAACATCATAATTAACTTACCCCGAATACCTGTGGCTCTAACTCTTTCAGGATAACCTTTTTTCCTGATTTTATATCAGTGAAAAGTTTCAATGAAACAGTTCTGAAAGAGTTGCCCAAGAGTGCAATGCTTTTATGGAGGATCAACTAAACTCTTTTAGCCTTTTTCTTTATCAGTCGCTTTTACCTTGAGAAGTAACTAATTGATAGATTATTTTTGGTAGTTTCATCCCTTTTTAAGCAAAAGGAATTAAATAGTGAAAATCTCCATAGAGTATTTGAATTTAGTGAAATCAGACTTCCCCAAACAGTTATTTCTTCTAGGCTTAATGCCCTAAAGAAAAAGAGAAATCCGTCAACAATTAGCCATACAAAACAATGTCATATGTTAGTTCTAAGAAGCTATTTTGATCTTAAAGAAACCATGGGAAATTTTAACTGGAATTAGAAAATTCAGCTTTGATCCTTTATTTCTGACACAGGATTGCTCATTTTTATCAAAGGCAAAGATTTGAGGAAATGACAAATTCAGTTCATGCTTTTAATTTAAAATCTATAAATTATTGTCCAAACTGAGTTGTTTTCAGTAGTGAAAGGGGAGCTGTTCATAATGAGGCCCATACCAGAGGTGTAAAGTGGGATGAACGGTCACCTTACTTGTGGCTGAAGGCTCCTCCAAGTAACCAGAACTCTGACTTGAGTTTCGACTGTTGAACCCTAATCCCTTCAAAACTACTCCCTTTAATTCATGCCTCAGGTACGGTTTCTATCAATAAAAGATGGAGTCAGGTTGTTGTCTATCTTAATGTACAGTCAGTTCTCCTAAAACACTTGGTTTAGAAGTGCAACGCAAAAAATCAAACTTGTCCCAGGGTGATTGATACATTAGGGGACGGTTTAAGCATAGTGCAAAATTTGCATTTGCTAATGCGTGATTCTGTCTGTGAGAAACACCAGATGGATACGGAAAACTACCCCCAGCTGAACTGAGCTGGGTAGAGACACATAAACCACGTAGACACCTCAAATATCCACCAGCAACTTCAGTTTACCACGTGTGTTACAAGCAACACCCACCCCTATCTGGCATTACAACTTCCCCTTCCATTTCAGGCAACTTCCTGCCGCCACTTTACAACAACTCACAAGCTACAACCTACCAACACCCCTTCCATAAGCAAACTTCCAGTCTTTTCCAAGGTCAGGTGCCGTATTTGTTGTGGTATTTATGTGTTTCTTAACCATTTAACATGTATAAAACGCTGCTGCTTGTTTTATTAGGATTTTTTTTTTTGAGTCACTGATGAAGTTTTTGAGTGTTGTGCCCATAATCCTATTTTCTCCAAACCCCCTGTGCTATTTACTGTGCGATTTTGCACATGGTGGTCTTAGGAGTGCATTTGTTGTGTGAGAGCAGAGCTGATAGAAAAGAGCAGCCTTCTGTCGACTCATTTATAACTCAGACTGCTGGAGAGCCTCTCAAAATTCCATGCCAACTTCCCTCAATCTACACATCTGTGACACAATCAAACTGCTTTTTGTGGGTAGACACTTACTACATTTTAAACAGCCCTTGCTGTGTTCCAGACACCACACTAAAGCCATAATAAGCAATTTCTTTTATTTCTCCCAGCAACTTTATAGGTAGGAGCTATAGTTATACCCACTCGACAGATGAGGAAACTGAAGCAAGGAGAGAGCAATTTGCCCATTGCCACACAGCTAATATATGGTGGAGCTACAGTTGAGCATAGGAATCACATTAAAATTATTTTATAGCGTTTTCTCTCAATCTGATAACATCTATTTTCCTTCAATAGTAACTTAAATGTTATGCCTATAAAGCTTTCCCTGTAAGCTTCTATAAGCAGGCAGTCACCTCTCTGCTTTCAGAATTGAACTTTCTTTTATTCTCTCAGCAAATGTTTATTGAGTTCCTAGTAGGATTGCAGTGCTAGGTGCTGGGGCTGTAACATTGAAGGTGACTTGGTCATTGTCAGAAACTAACAATCTACCAGGGGAAGCAAGCGAGTGAACTATTGAAGGCAGTGGGACAAGCCCTACCATAGAGGTGTCAGAGCGCTCAGAAAGTCAGAGAACGGGGGCAGCAGCTTTGACTGGGAGGTAGGAGATCAGAGAGGATGTTTGAGCTAAATATTGAAGAGTAGACATTCCAGGTAAAGGAAACAGAACAGTTAAGGTCAAGGGTGTGAAACCACAGAACCTTTATTGAAACTACAAGTGGTTCTGTTTGCACAGAGTAAAGGAGACCAGTGGGAGAGTAGGCAGGGACCAGGTTAAGAGGGTCTTGGATATAAGGGATTCTGAATTTATCCTAAAGGCTTGGTGATGCTATTGAATAATCAAGCAGGAACGTGACACAAGCAGACTGTGCCTCCTCTCTCCTTGTCACAGCGCCATGAGCATTCCTCTATTATAGCATTTATTACAAATGCCTTGATTGTGCATACCTCCATCGTAGGATTTATCACGATCCTAATTTCCAGATGGAAGCAATATGGAGAATTGCTGGAAGGAAAGCAAAGTGGAGATGAAGCCAGTTTGCAGTAACCCAAGCGAGAAGTGATTGAGATAGGGGGTGGATTTACAGGTAGATCTGATTGGATGGTGGAGTTAAACAAAGCACTCTACGCTGATTTCCCACTCAGGTAATGGCAGATGATAGAGTGTCAAGGACAGCCTTGGGAGGTCATGTGGGAAAGAGTTAACTCAGTACCCTTGGGCTACCTGTACATTACTCCCAAGAAAGTTCTGTCTTTAGGATTGGCCCTTGGCTGGCTCCTGGGAAATAACCTCTGAGGCCTTGGGATATTCTGCCCAGTAAGAATGTTTTTGTATGCCTGAAGCCTTGGGCCGTGCTGTACGGTGTGACCACATCAGTTCATTCTCACAATGTAACTCATGGTGAATGCCTGCTTTTGCCCCATGGGGCTGGCATCTGAGTAGCTGAGGTCATTCACATGGGTGCTCCACACCTATGTGACTGACTCCCAATAAAACCCCTGGATGCCAAGGCCTGGGTGAGCTTCCCTGGTCGGCAACACTTCACAGGTGTTGTCACACATCAGTGTGACTCCACTGGGAGAGGATGCCTGGA